CCTGTCTTATATTAGACCGTCAACATTCGGCGTGACTAAACGTTCTGTTTCTGAACCGTGGACTCTTTCTTCTTTCTCTGGTGTATTCATGAAATAAATTTTCCTCTTCATCAGTTTCAGAGCATCACGTTCAAGAGGATAAAACTTGATTTTCCTTACTTCCGCAGCGACAGGTACAGCTGCACGTTTTTATCGGCTCTCACCGTCCACGGCCTCCATGTCCACTGCAGCTCATGTCAAATCTTTCAGGGACAAGCGAGACTTTGTGTCGGCTGGAGCTGCGGCTGGAGTCGCTGCAGCCTTCGGCGCTCCGATCGGCGGCACCCTCTTCAGTCTGGAGGAGGGCTCGTCCTTCTGGAACCAGGCCCTCACCTGGAAGGTGGTACGTTGTACTAAAAGACGACGAGGGATGAAGTGCTTTCATCGTGGATGTTTAATTTATTAATCCCAGCATGAATGCTAGCAGCTTGCGTGGCTCTGGTTCTGGCAGCCTGGATCTTCTCGCACAGCTCCAGCGTTCAGAAATAATTACATTTCTTTTGTTTTCAGCTCTTCTGTTCGATGTCGGCCACTTTTACTCTGAACTTCTTCCGCTCTGGGATTAACTTCAATAAATGGGGCTCGTTCCAGCTGCCCGGACTGCTCAACTTTGGAGAGTTTAAGGTAGAGTTCTGCTTGTTGTTTGTTTCGTAGAGAAAAGGCGACGCGTCTTTGTAAAACCTGTTTCTGTGAATTTTCAAAACAATTTTGAACCTTAAAGTAATTTTAGTTAAAAAAATCTTCACTCTGAAAAACAAATTCCTAAATTTATAGTTTCCTGAAATGATTGGGGTGACCGACGAATAATCTTTGGGGGCCACGACCTCCACTGGCCACCCCCTGGCTCCACCACTTTTCTGCCTCGGACAAGAACGCATTAAAACCCTCTCTGTTCTCCAGTGTAACTCCAGTATCTTGTACCAAAAACATTTAGGTTTTCTTCTCTGTTCAGTTCCAGCCCACAAAATCCAAACTACGAACATTCATTATTCAGATCCTGCAGTGACTGATCATTTAATCAAAACCCCTTTTTAAACCTGAAACTTTTCCTGAAAACAAACTTGCTGGCTGTATTTTAAACCTACTGGGTAACGTTGAGCGTTCATCTAAATGCACATTGTATCAGAAATGACTCGATCGTATTGTAATTTACCGAACGTTTACAGATATTTAGATTTTCTTCACAAATGAAAATATTCTTAGAAAACCAGATTTTGGACGCCTGCGCTGCTTCAAACTTCAGTGAGCAACACGGCTATAAATAAACAGGCGAACTCCAATCATGGATCGAACGTATTCCAACATTTAATGTTTATTATTAATTATAGTGAATGTGAAACTTGATACGCTTGAATCTTCACTGGACGGAGAGTTGTCTACACTTTTCATCGTCCAGCTCTTAGTCAAGCTCTTGATAACACAAAGCCTTTTGCTTTTCCGCACCATAACTTCTTAATTTGATGAAGCTTGACAGAAATTTGTAGCACCGCTAGACGGCGTGTTGCGCCATCTTTTCATCAACTTCGTTCAAGGTCAAAGGTTAAGCGAGGTCTTTGCTTGTCCGGGCCGTTCCTATAGATTGCTGTATAGTTGTCTGTTGACGGGCGTTTGACGGTGCTCGTCATAATCTGTCACTTTTGTTGGTCAGTGTCTAGACGGTGATAAGAACTGCCACCTGTGGACCGCAGTGGACCTGGCCTTCTTTGTCCTGATGGGTGTGGTTGGTGGCCTGCTGGGGGCGCTCTTCAACTGCATGAACAAGTGTCTGGCCAAGTATCGCATGAGACATGTTCACCCCAAGGCCAGGTTCTTCAGGTGACCCGGCACAGCCCGCCCCAGCTGACAAACACAAGCTTTATTTCTGATTTTAAACCTTTTTTTTTTCCATTTCAGAGTACTCGAGAGTCTGCTGGTTGCCATGGTGACAACAGTTGTGATATTTGCCGCTTCCATTTTGTTGGGCGAATGTCGGGACCTGACCTCCCCCACCACCCACAACACCACGGTGAGTTTTTCCCGTTACACAACGGAGTGCAGCTGCCTGTCTGGTTAAAGGACAGGAGTGAATAAGACGTGTGAGAACAAGTCATGGTCTTAATTCTTCATGAGGAAACGTAAATGTTTTCATGACTGACAGTAGGGATGGCATGATTATCAGTATGGAGGTATACAAGGAGATTTCTGTTAACTGACTCCAAAGCTTTCTCTGACTGCGAATGGAAAGCCAACAAGATGGAGACGGATTGGAGACCTGGTCCTACAGGTGAAGGATTTCAAGTGTCTCTCAGCGTGGCTACGTCCACTGAGGAGGACCTGTAGCTCAGACTGCTGTCAAACTGGGAAAAATCTGTCCTTCTTCACTCTTCAGGAAACTAAATCTCTCTAAAGCAACAGTTGAAAGTGTTTTCCAGTATGCGTCAGGACCATGGTCACTCACTGAATGGGTGTTTAACTCATCTACAAATGGCAAGAAAGTGTGACAAGGACCTCTACAGAGATCCCACCAGCGTCAGACGGCTCCATTCTGCTACAGAACCAAGAAGGAACATATCTGTCGGGTTTTATTCTAGGAACCAGCAAGTGGTCACAAAGGAAGATGACCAGGAACGTCCGACATCAACAGGATGATGGATGATCCAGGACTCTGTCCCTGAAATCGACCGAGGTGGATCGGAGTATATGGAGAGCAGTGTTTCCCCTCGGTCACTTGCCTTGCTAGGGTGCTCCTCTCTTCAGGGAGTTTTGTAAATGGGGGAGGTTTGGGAGAGAGACATGTCTGTGTTGCACGCTACTTTTGTGCCGGCAGTTGTTGAGAGAAGCGGAGCACTGTGTCATTAGTAGCTTTTTAGCCAGCGCTTCTGTATTTCGCACCGCTACGCCCAGCAGTTTTCGACCGGGGCGGGGGTGGGGTGCAGAGTTGTGGGTGAAGGACATTTCGGTAGTAGGCAGGGCGCTCGGTTCTGTTGACGGCGGGGCGCCCTCCTTGTATAATGGTAGGGGAAACCCTGGAGAGACATCTGTGGGGATCGAAGAAATTTGACTAACTTTTATAAAATGTGTGTCTCTTTTATATAATTAATAATGACAGTGCACGGAGTGGGAAACGTATATTTAGGAGTTGTTTCAGAGACGCCACATGAAGTTGGTGCGTTGATTTCTAATATTAACAGTCTTTTTGTCTATTCCATGTTCATACTTACAGGACCAACAATGTTTCTGCTACTAGACACAGTTTTAATTAAGCAATCAATATAACTTTATTGTCCAAAACATTTCATGACATGGAGATTTATCTTTGACATCTGGCTCATACATGCAAAACAACACAATAAAAAATGCCATAAAACTTTAAAAAGCTTTGCTAACCCAATAAAAACCTATTCTAAAATACACGATACATTAAAAACATCTCGGCAGACAGCGGGTTGTCATGTGAGGCTGCGTTTAAATAGGACCTGCTCACGGCAGAGAGAACAAATGACTTTTTGTTCCATTGTTCTTCACCAGAGGAACCAGCAGTCTTCTGCCAGATGGTTCCAACCTGAATAATGGTTGCAGTGGATGAGTTGGGTCATTGTAAACCTGTATAGCCTTTTTTTCAGAACCTGACTGTACAGGTCTGTAGGTTGCATTTGCTGATGACCAATGATTTTACAGTCCAGTTTGACCACCTGGGACAACTTGTTCCTGTCTCTGGCTAGGACGTTCCCATACCATGAGACAATATTAAAGGAAACAACTACCAGTGACCTGTGCACCAACTGCAAAGTAATTTTGCTTGCATTAAAGCTCCTCAGCTTATATAGAAGGTGGAGACGCTGTCTGGCTTTTTGTAAGTACAGTCAGTGTTGGGGGTCAAAGGTCAACTTGTTAATTATTGTTCCGAGGTATTTAAATTCAGTCACCTGCTCTGCTTCCTGCACTTTTATAACTGAAGGTCTGAATACAGGTGTGGTGCTGGCTGCTCCCCATCTTTTGTCTCCAAATCC